CGAGTCTGAAGTTCCTGTAGCAAGTTAAGCTTGCTTTTCATCTTTGCAATACTCAAATACACCCTTGCCATTATCATCTGATCGCGCATTAAGCGTACTGTTGAATCAGAGTTCTCATTATCCATTTCTTTCCTCCATATACTGTATTTGCCCAAAACGGCACCATCAACTAATTTTGAGCGTTCAATGATGGCACTTTCAAGCCTTGCAATCGCTTCATCATCTTGGCGCAATAACTCCGCAGCACGCTTTTCACGTCGTTTCTCCCTCAATTGCTGCATAAACTCTCAAGGGAAACAAAATTTACAGCTCAGAAACTAAACAATAATTTGATAACTCCAATATTTTCCTAGTTCAGGGCTATGGATCTTAAGGCAAGTGAGGAAAGGAACCATAGTAACCGGATAATGCATCCAAGAAAGATAATTACCCTACGAGCTAGTTTTGCAGGTGTGTCACCAGATTGAGAATCATCATCTGCAGGGGACAGACAGAAGAAGACCAGATTAGCACTTAAGCAAGAACCATATGAAAATATCTGGTTAGAGAATCGTATCTACCAGAAATGTTGTCATCTTTTCCCTTAGGTGCTTCCTGCTTGACCACTGTAGCTGTTTGGTTTGGCTTTGAAAAAGTAATGAAAATCCAAACTTACAAATAATCAGCAATCACAAGTTGACATAAGACTTGCAAAAAATGGTGCACACAACATAGTGTTTATCAAGAGATTCAACCAAAGCATGACAGTCATGAGTCATCCTCACCTCAGAAGCAGCATTATCCTTGACTGAAGTATCTACGCCAATAACTTTCCACGAGGCAGACAAATTGTTTTTTCTAAAAGAATCAAGACTCAAAGGTCCCAAATCAGCTGTGCTGGATCTGATAACATCAATGACCTAAAAAGAGATTGCTCTAATTAGCACATCATGTGATTGAAAAGTAAAACAAAAACCTATCAACCATCACATATATGTGGTGAATTAAAATACACGAAATTTCCAATTAAAATATGAGCAATCTGTACTTACCTCTTCTGAGAAAATCGATTTCACATGTTGCAAGGCCAGCCGTTCTCTCCAATTCAAATGCTACACCAAACCAACCACCAGCTTTTTTTTAGATTTACACAACGTGACACAAACAAACAGATCATCATATCTAAAAATAACGATAAAGATAGGAGAACAGTATCTACCTGCTTACCAGAACCAACTGCATTCAAATTTTGATCTGCATAGCAACATTAATGAATACAAAGCACCGAAGCCAAAGCTTAATTAATAAAGCACACTAGCTATTAACTCATTGCCACTAAAGTACCTAAAAAGTATTCATAACTGGAATTGGAATTGGAATTTTTATTTTTATTTTTATTACCAATAAAACTAAAAATAATATTTCATAAAAAATTAAGAAATAAAATAAAGATCTGGTAAACTAACCAGTAGAAGAGCTTGTTTTATAGAGTCCTCGACCGACAAAGAACATCAACGGAGACAAAACGCAGAAGAATATCACAACTACAATCGGCAATCTAGATCCACCACGTCGGTTCTTGTTCAAGCCGGAAATTGAAAATCCCCGCTTCAACGCCATTGCCTCCTATCAAAACCTAAAAAAAAAAGAAAAAACACATAAAAAGGAAAGAGAAAGAGAAAGCGTGTCGTTAAAGGGAAATGCAGTGATTTGATACTATTATTATTATTCAGGAAAATGTGAAGTGAATTTTATTGTTTCTATTAAAAAGGAAATTATCAGTACATGAGGAAGAGCAGAGGGAGAGCTTTAGATTTCTTTCTGTTCGCTGGGTATCTAATCTAATTTTCGTTTCTTGACGCGGAGGAGGAGGCTCTGTAATTATTTTATTTTCTTCTTCTCTCCCCTTTTGTTGAGAAAGATTAAATAATAATAATAATAGTAGTAAGAGTGCGTTGGGACTACGATGTCGTTTTTTCATCGGCATGCCGGATCTTCCTTCTTCTAACGCTGGGACCCAACACCGACGCTAACAGTACTGTTTTTTTGAAAAAAAATTAGAGTGCTCTTAAAATAATTTTTAATATTTAATTTTATATAAATAATAAAAAAATCATATCCCATCTATCATAATTTTTTCACCTTTTCTTTTTATTTTTATGCTTATTTAGAATAAATATTAGTAATTACTCTAGAAGTAATCTAGATTTTTTCTTATCCTTTATCTGGTTGTTTATATATTTTTTTTAACACCAATGAGAATGGTTGATCATTTGGCTTTGCTTTTAAGTATAAGCATGATGTTTTAAAAGCTCTAGATAAAGGATTGGAGAAGGAGTTAGTTATGTAATATGAAAAATATTATCATCTTATTTATCTTTCATAAGATAAGTTTGTATTGTTATTTATTTTAAAACTACATGTGTTTTTTATTCTTGGAGATTGCCTAAATCTAAAATTTTTATTTTAAATTTATATTAAAGAGTGATTTTGCATTTAGGCACAAAAATAGTCCAATCCTCACTTTGATAAAAGACATGTATTGGATTTGATATAAATATGAATTTGGCAATTCAAATATTTGATAAACTATTAATGATTGGAGTTGAAAGGACATATCATTTCATTCTGGATATATATACACACGCAACTAATATACCATAATAAATAGAAATATCAAAATAATATATTGGAAAACACAAATATATAACCATCAATTATATTATAATCAACATTCAAATAGATGGGCCAATAACCTAATCTTGGATTGAATTCTAAAATAAAAGGTAACAGACAAGAATACAAAAATAATATATTAAGAAACATGAATGTGTACATACCAATTTTATTATGAAATAGTTAATATTCAAAAGACAAGAGGCAATAACTATGAAGTCTAATTTTAGATTAATCAAATATTGAAGAATAACATTGAAAAAAATTTCAATTATACAAAAAAATTTAAGAAAATATCAATTAAAATAACGAGGATCAAAATTGTAACAAAAAATAAATTTTATATTTGATTAAATGGTAAAATTAAAAGGTAAATTCAATTTTTCAAAGTGATAAAAAAATTAAAATAATAAAAATCAAAATCAAAATAAAAATAAAAATAAAAATTTAATTAAAGGGTGAAATTAAAAAAAAATAACTTTTATAGAAAGTCTAAGAAAAAAATTAATGTTTTTTTTTCTTACTTGTAATTAATAAAATATTTATGTGCTCTAGCATTTCATTTTATTAAATTCAAAACCAAATAAAAAGAATCATAAGCTCAAAATATTTTTTTTTTTAAAATAATAGTTGAATAATTAAATTGTTGGGCAATGGGTTGGCCAAAATCTCTCTATTTAGAGAGACGCACACACTTGTCGATTGCATGACAATAATGTTCTTGTATCATCAAATCCCAAGCCTTTATTCCATTGAAGGAAAATCATATTTTCATAAAATAAAATACATATAATAGTACCAAAATTCTCTAATCAATCTTACACGAAAAGTAATGATTAATTCCAAGAGAAACCAAAACTTAGAATAATAATAATAATAATAATTACAAAAAAATCGAGTGGGTCGCAAGTCTAAGCCCATGCACGCTTTTTTTCTTTTTCCTTTTTTACCATGTTGGAGGTAACCACTGCCATTCTAAACACATGAATGTCAATACATCGATCTTCATTGTCAGAAAAGGCATCCTCTCTCATCAATTATCTTCTATCTCAAACGTAAATTAAATAAAACATCATTTAAATATAATCGCTCCAAAAAACACAAAGATTTAAATATAAACACAAAATATAGCAACAAATAAAAAATCCCATCAACCAACCAAGACTCCAAAAGTATAATCTAATAAAAAATCATAAAACCAAATCTAACACTTCCGAAATATCATTTAATGAAGGTCCTTCCAAACAATCCAAAACTTCAAGAATGCCATTGAATGAATAATAATGATTAATAAAACCACATTAACAAATTTTGTTAATGGATAAAAAATAATTTTTGAAATAAACGCTGCTGCTGCTGCAATAATTGTTTTCTTTAACTTAGATGTCTGTGAAAAATTCATTTTATTTTGAAAAGTATTTTTAAAATTGCTGAAAAATAAATTATGTTTTGATACTTGACAATATCATAAAAAATAGATTATGAAAAAATAAATTATTTTCTAATGTTTGAATAAAAAATAAGATAAAAATCATTTTATAGACTTCATATACATATATAAAAATAAGTTGAGAAATAACACATTTTTGAGTTACTATCTTTTTTTTAAAAGGTACAGTTTTTATTTTTATAAAAACAATTTGTTGTTTGAAGAACATTGATAATAAATTTCTTTTCTATGATATCCTGATTTTATAACACAATTTATATGATTTAAAATATATCATTATTGTATAATATAACATATTTTGTATTCAAATGTATTTTTTAGCAATAGTATATAAATTAAAGCATCATAGGTAATAATATATTAAATTAATATACATGTGTATTAACATGTCCTAATATATTATTTGCTATATAAATATATTAGTAATTTGTTATTTTTTTAATAATATTATATTTTCAAAATTTTATTAATATATTATTGTTTTTATATATAAAAATAATAAATAGTTGTACCATTTTAGTTTTTAAATCTTTTATTAAAAATATTTTCCGCTTTTTTAAATTGAAAAACACTTTTCTCCATCTAAAAGTTATTATTTTCTTGATTTTCTTAAAACAGGAAACTTCAGCAACCAGTTTTTCATAATATAATCAAATATAATTAAACATGAAAGAGCTAGGAAAGTACTTTATAGAAAAACAACATGAATGAGCTAGGAAAGTACTTTATAGAAAAACACTTACTAGCAAACAAGACCTTAAAAACAATCTACTTTTCAAAAATCATAAAATATCTTGAACTTCCAGATTATGCACGATGATAACGACTTACATTGAATATCATGCATAAATAGCTAGCCTTCACAGGCACCTGGATTTTAAAAGACTGCGTAACCGGACACCAGGCATCAGCTGCCCAATCGTTGGACAAATTTTTAGTCAAGTGCAAATATCATACAAATAATTCTCGGCATGTAAAGTAGAGCAAGCTCATTAACAACACATCATTTTCAATCTCTAAAGCATTTTTCTAGCTGGTAAGCCTGTAGGATTCTGGACAGGGTAGCCATTCTGAGGTGTAATTATTGACCTTCAAGCAGATCCAATCGTTTATGCCAAAATTAAATCCAGAACACAGTGGAATTAAAACCAGGGAAAAAAAGAAAATGAACTAAAACCTCATTCCTGGTAGATTCACAGATCTCTAAAGCCTAAACACTTGGAGTACCTCCGAACATGGCAGAATAAGATGTAGATGTGATGCAGAGCACAAATTCTGTCATTTATTCTTCAGATTACCCTACATACCATCTTGTCCAACCAAAAATGTTGAAGCTCTTTGCACGCGATAATTATTAGTCCACTGTCTATCCATCCCTTTCTGATAATACAAAATAAGTAGATCTTAGGTCCTGCTGCTCATCCCATGCACCTCAAGCCTACTGAAAAAAGAAAAAAAAAATAATGTGCAACCTAATTACCTCAATTTGACATAATAGAGCCTCTAAAAAATAGCCACATCCAAGTAATCCCCAATCTGCATAAGCGAAATACAAGTTAGTGACATTCAAATATGGTTATGGTACAGTTTGTGAGAGAAGGTCATCTTGGTTTACCTGGAAGCCAAGCTGAGCCAATGCTTTGTTGTCATCGAATTTCCCATTTCTATGAGAATTGGTCTTGCCCACCTTCATCAAGCAATGTAGAATTCACAATCAGATGAAAATTGAACTTTACGGCAGGTCTCATTATACCTCAAGCAGGACAGCAGGCGTGCATTAATAATGCTAAAATGAATATTAAGATTATATTCACCCATCCAACAGATGCTTAAATGCAAAAATGAAATACAAGGACATAAACTGACTCCGGAGAAAAGGGGTCATGTAACATATAAATGTAATATGAGATCTTCACATATAATTTTTTGAGATGATAGCACTGTAATGAAACAAGGAAAATAGCATGATTTGTTCTTACTCTTGGTGATACCCATCGCGAAAAGATGACAAACATGATTATAGACAAAGAACATTGAAATGATGCTTTTGCACAAGCCATGGGTTGATATGTCACCATAAGCTTTTGAAAGATGGAGAAGGCAATAGGAGATGGCTTGTGCATACAGCATATATGAATCAAAAAAGAAAAAGAAAAAATCTCTTCACATACACAGTGCACAGAGAGAACTAACCTCTCGTACTACAAAACGGCCATTTTTATCAGGATATACAAAAGCAAAGGACAGTCTTGCATCTCTTCTCCTAGCTGCTGGAGTCACCTCTTTGACCTGTGAAAGAGATGGAATAAAAATGGAACCAAAAATACCAGAATTAAAACACTCAATGCAGAAAATAGCATGCATCACCACTGAAAATAAGAAACAGTTGATTTGGCATAGGCATGAATAGTGCATTCTTGGAAGCAAACAAAAATTAAGAGACTGTTCTGATGTACTCATGAATTCTCAAACACCAAATATGTTTAGTCAATACCATTTCAAGAGCATCCATGACCCCAATTTCTAATCTCATTACATCTCTGCACAGAATAATATCGCTAAGAAACAGATTCTGCTCTGTGGATAGCTAAACCACACTTCCTCCAGGAAGCAGGACCTTAGAGAAAACCATGATGGGTAATTTTCCAACCTTAATTTCTAATCTGGTTTTATCTTATGAACAATTGCTTCTGAAAAAGCAATGAGATGCCACATGGACACCAGCAGATCAGAAACTGCCCCAGGGAAAAAAAGAAATTTATCACATAAGAATCCAGTGCTATCCCCACAAGAGTAGTGGAACCCCTCCCCTTTCTTAGAAAAGGAAAGACAAGAGCTTCAAACTCCAATTGCGAGTATCAAGTATCCAAGCTGATTGTCTTTCATGTATATCTTATTCTAACTTGTGACATCTGAAAATAAAGAAATAAGAACATTATGTATATCTTATTCTAAGAACTTATGACATCTGAAAATAAAGAAATAAGAACAGACTACATGTTTGCTCCAACTCTACTATGCAATCTCCTTGTCCATGCAACCCCCCCCCCAAAAAAAAAAAAAAAAAAATAATAATAATAATAAATAAAATCCTTAAGTTCAGCCTCAGCCCATACTGAAAGGAAGCCCAATGCAAAAGCATTTGGATGCTTCACAACCTTGGGAGAGCATTCACTCCTAGGCCATCGCCCATAAACGGCAAGCCACTTCCCATTCAACGTGCATAAACAAGGCGATACAACATCTTCTCAACTTACCAGATCAGTTAACTCGCGAAGAGTGGCATCCTTCCACGTATAAATTTGAACCTCATCCTTCGGCTCCTTGCCTCTCACCGCAAAATCCTCGTTGCTATGATGATCTCCAATCTGCCAGGAAATTCAGCAAGTCACAAAGTACAGTTCAATTTCTATAAAGAATATTACAATTTGTACCAAAAATTAGACATACCTTAGTAAAAACCCGAAGCAATAGGGGACATGTCTGCATATTAAAAAACAAAAAAAATAATTATAGAGGTGTAGTACATTTGCAACCCTAGAAAAATCCAGAAAGGGAGAAAGAAACGTGTACCTTCTCACGATCAATAGGAGGAGGAGGAGGAGGAGGAAAAGCTCTTGCAGTAAGAGAAAATGGTCTACCTCCTTGTCTCCTCTGCATTTCTGCCATTCCCGCCATCGATCGTTTTTTTTTGTTTCCCCTTGCAGACACTTTCAAGAGAACAGAAAAGCTTCCTCGTGTTTGCTCTTTCGAATTGATAAAGTGAATGATAGTATGAAGCATAATTTGGGTTTCGGGTCTGGGCTGGAGAAGTCGGGCTCTCCATAAGCTAAATCTACTTCGACTTTAGCCCATTGGATCTGTGACTTGATTTTTAGAAAAGTAACTACATCCTTATCGGCATGGGATGCATTACATCGTGGTTATAATTAATTTTTTTAAAAGAAAAAAAATATCAAGTTATTACCTCAAGTAGAGAAACAGTTTTAATTATGAAATTAAAATTTAAAGCATATTCAATAATATTTTTTAAAAAATATTTAGAGGTGATTTATCAAACGACATCTTTTTTTTTAATATTAAAATTATAATATATTAGATTGACTTGAGTTATTTCTAATTAACCTAAAATATTCAAGAATTGAGGCATGAGATTGCGGTAAATTAATAGAATTAAATTATGAAATATGATTCTTAATCAATTTAAATATTGAAGAAAAAAAATACAACTTAAAAAAGAAAAAACACTTAATTCAACTTGTGTAAACCTACCAAGCCCTTAATCTAAGTCATGAGAATGAAATAACTTTGTAGAAAATAAATTGAAAAACTTATGAATCTCAATTTTAAATCAATCTAGTATTAAAAGATGAAATTGAAAAATAAATTTAATTTTTTAAAAATAACATGAACCCAATTCAATCTAAGTTAATTTATCAAACCCGTGACCTTAGTCATGAGATATGAATAACCTATTAGAAAGCAAATAAAAAAATTATGAAGCCAACTCCTAACAAACTAAATATTAAAGGATGCAATTAAAAAATATATGAATTTAAAAATGGAAGTATAAAAAAACAACAAAGTCCACCTCAGTTAACATTTCAAACTTGTAACCCCGATCATGAGACCGAGATAACTTTGTAAAAAAAATCACATAGTCTAATTCCCAATCAACTGAATGTTCAAGGATGAAATTGAAAAATAAATTAATTTAAAAGAAAGATAAAAAAGAACCAAGCTTACTTGAGTTAACTTCTCAAATATGTGACTGAGTTTATGAAACTAGAACTATTTCATAGAAAGTAAATAAAAAAATTACAAAACCTAATCCCCAATTAACCCAATGGTTAAGGATGATATTGAGGGAAAAAATAATTAAAAAAATAATGAGAAAATTTAATAAAAAAAAAATTATAGTTCAGCTTGCAATTCTAGAGAGGGACTTACATGAAAATCAATGAAAGAAGAAAGAAAAAAGGGAAGAGAAAAAAAAAAAAGATCATCGGAGACATACCGAGATTTCAAAGTACCACGCGCCACCTTATAATAAAGCCTCCACCAAAACAATTCTAATGGTACCATGGAAGTCCACCTTTGGAGCATGGATGAAGGTATATGTTCCATCGCATCACAATGGCTTCACTTACATGTTGACATGTATATTATAAGTGTCAGTCACTCTTTCTATTTATTTCACCTTAGTCCTTGGTTTGACCAAAAAATAGCATAAAGTTTTGTAACATTTGTAACTCATGTCCCTAAATCTTTAATTGTTATAAATCAAATTGAACTCTAGTTTACAAAATCGAGCATCAATCAAAACTAAAAACAATCCTCATAAACAACATTAACACATAAAAAGTAAAACAAAATAAATCACAAAGTTTAATTTCAAGAATACACAATTTCAAAGCACGAATTTAAAAGAAAAAATTGAATGATAATGCCAAAAAAAGGTCGCAATTTAAATCCACAATGCATGGTGATTTTCAACCATAGTTTTATAACTCGACCCAAATATAATGATTTTAAACACTACATATTTCTTTCATGACCTTCAAGTAATGATGTCAAACTATTAACATTGATTTCCATGTTGTACACCTGGTTAAAGATAACAATCATTAATAATTAATGAAAAAAATTAAGTCAATGTAATCTTATTTTATTTATAAATTATTACATACTTGGGTTTTAAACCATGTGAAATATTATTCATTCTATACTTAAAAAATTTGAGATTCAGTAAGATAAAAATTTTGGGATAACAAAAACTAACGATTTTGCCGATAAGGAAGTTACTGAGATTTTAACCTATATGAAAATAAAAAATAAAATGATTTAACACTATAAAATCATAAAATTAACTTACTAATCAAACTATATCAATTCATTACAGTTAAATAATATATAATTCTATGCTTGTTTGAATTTGATGTCTATCAAATATCTTCTTGAAATTGCATTATTAAACAATGGTCATCTAAGATGGAAAAATATTGACAAATTCTTTCTCACAGGTGCTTCACCACTATCATTATGTCTTGGAACACTATTAATTTTTGTTTTCATATGAGGCTCAAAACAATATGAGATAATTGTTGAAATGTCTTCAATAATCAAGTTTCTCATATCAAAGCTTCAACATGTACCCTGTCTTTAATATTTTTTTCTTAAGGTTAAACAAGCACCTATATGAAAGTAAATATAGGTTGAATAACCAAATGTTTATAAAAAACACAATAGACACTTATGATGATGCAATCCTTAACCTTTTTAATAGATACATATAAACATTTACGATGATATAATCCTTAACCTTTCGGATAGATACATCTATATATACTACATAAGCCCTCCAACTTTTACTTTATATGCTAAATATATAGGTATATGCTCCATTGAATCGAAGAAGAAAGGAGATAAGATCATTTCAAGTTTGCAGATTATCTTAATGATGTTCATTTCAAGATGTTTAACGTGTTGGAAACACATTTTGCTCTAGGAAATATCTCTAAAAAATAACTAATCTTTATGAGTGCATTCCCTATCCATTTTTAGAACAAATCCTTATAAGCAATTATAATGAATATTTGCATAAACACAAAGCAATCATGACTTTTTATTTTATAAAATTTGTATTCCTCCAAATTCACCAATCTTCAAAGCATATTCTTAAGTCATTCATAAACAAGAAACTATGCTTTTTATAAAAGGCAAATATGGTTTTGGGCTTTGTGACTCGTACTCCATCATTAAGCAACTCCATGTTCTAACAGTCACAAAACAAAGCTATATTCATTCAAGTTTTTATATTGTCTTTTGTTTTTTTTTTAATGTCAATGACCATGTTAAAAATATTTTCAAACACCTTCTTGATATGCAGGATATTTCAATTATGGTAGATAATATTAGTCTTCCAATAAGAAAGCTTATAAAAAATACTCTATATTTTACACAATCATAGGTCATACTAAAATCATAAAATTTTTGCTTACCAAGCTGAAAGCTAAATATTGAGTTTATATCAAGCATACTTATATGCTTTGCATTTAGTTAAATTTATATCTTCATCATATTACATGTAAAAGTTTAGGCACATATTAATTTTTTTGTATTATAGACCAAGGGTTTCATCATAGATTTCGCGACATAAAAGTTCTCTTTTAGTTTATTCTCTTTAAATAATTTTTTTTTTATCAATTCAATGATGTTATTATAATCAGTACATTTAACTCATAATCTAACTTGATGGTACATACTCATACAATGGTTGACAATTTAATGTGATTGATACACCTATCCTATAATATTTCATCATTTTTTTTTTAGAGTTTAAAAAGCCTAGTTGTATTTACTTTTAATTCTTTATTTACATGCAAGCCTTCACCTGAATAACCATGATTTATTAAAATTGCATCAATTACCATACTCTTATAATGATTACTATTATGATCTGCAACTACATGTACCTTGCTAGATCTAGATGTTGAGCCAATAATGCTTACTAATATGGTCTCATAAAAAACATAGAGTTATATGTATGCAAACCAACATGTGTATTTCTATATAAACTCTTTTTAGAAGATGTGTCATAATAACATTTGATTGGTAAAACTTTTTAGTTTTAAAGTTAACACATGGATATTTAATTTCACTTCCACTAATATTCTTTAAACTTGAAAGTATGAAATTAATAAAACCCTCAGTCCTTTTACAATAATCTTTCTTATACATTTTTTGGGGTAAATCTCGATATATCCAAGAACAATCATCCATTACTTATAAATTTATATAAAATATTGATGACAATATTTATTAATAATGTAACCATCAATTCAAAATTCAACTTTGATAATTAAAATGAATTCAACATCTAATAATCAATTATCATTTGTAACCAATATCTAACCAATTAAAATGTGAATTAAATAACTCAAATTAACAATAAGTAATTAGTACCTAACTGATTATCTATCATTTCTTTAATTTAAACTTATTCAATCTAAACTAATATCATTTAATTGTTATCAATTCTATAAAAAAATTATTTTTTTCTAATTTTTTCAACTTAGTAACAATAAAATTGATAAAATATGATTGGTGCCCATTAAATAACCTATCATTTCTTCTAGTATAACACATCTAAGTTAAAAAATCAAACTTAATTTCATCAAATTACCAATAAATTTATTTTTTCTCAAAACCCAAACAAACCCTAACACATAAATCATACTTTAATATTAAAAAAATTCTCTATGAAAATGTTGTAAAACACTTAAATATACAAGAAAACTTTAAATACTAACAAAATATTAATAAATTAACTTAAAATATAAATGGGGTAAGTTTGTTTACTTTGAGTGGGGAATATTTAGAAAAAATTGAACAAAGACAATGATGTTGACACCGTTGAGTGTTGGGATGACCGAATTTGTAAGGATGAAACTTGGATTTGTGGAAAAAAGAGGAAAGGGCTATTGTTTTCTATAATTAAAGAAATAAAAAGAGGAAGAAAAAGAAGAAATTAGGGATGAGATTGCTATCAGTTAGAACACTTTTAACACTTTTAAATTTATCGATGAAATTTGTTATGGAAATTGGTGATGAAATATTTCTCTTAGTAATTTCATCAGCCAACGATGATGTGTCATGTTAACAACACAATCATTGATAAAGTATCTCTTGATTTTTTAATTATTTTTATTTTATTAGCAATTCTATTAGTAATTATCGACAAAATATATTACAT